GGGGGGAGCCTCGTGGCACAGGAGCAGCGCCCCCCTCGAGTCAAGGCCTGTGGACAAACTCAATCTTTGAACCAAAAAGAGCCTCAGGCACCATCCTCTCCCAACTCTTTCATTGTGCAAATGAGGAAACGGAGGCGGGGAGAGGGACAGGGCTGTCCCCGATCCCAGGGGCGCATCTGTATAAAGCCAGGTGTCCTGCGTCAGCGCGAGGTGTCCCCACTTCCAGAGGCCCCCACCACGCGCCCTCCTGGGGATGCAACAGCATCTTCGTGCCTGGGGTGGCCGAGGGGTGGACAGGCGGCTGGAGGCTCACAGTCCCCTCGGCGTGCCACGCCTTTGCCGCGCTGTCCCCTGAGCCGCGCATGCTGGCTCCATCCTGTGCATCCTTTCATCCCCGAGGCCCAGTGTGGCCACGTCATCGGGGGCCCCGGCCCTTCGGCAGCATGAAGCCTCCCCGTGAGTCAGGCACAGGGCGCCCGCGCCCGGCCTTGCTGAGCGCACCCTCCCTCCCAGCCCGCGCCCAGGCGGTGGTGGGTGGGCTCGCCCCGATGGGTGGCGGTGAGCGCTCCCCGCCTTTGTCTGCACCCCGCTGAAGGCCATGGCCGGCCGGTGCCGCTTTCCAGCAGCAGGGGGCAGAAGAGCCCAACTTATCTTCCTAGGGCGCCAGCCCCAGGCTCCCGGAGTCCCCAGCAGCTTTTATTTTCCGAAGCCTGTCACTGAAACTTGCTCTATCCCTGGATGGCTTTGGGCTGTGTTTTTAGGAGGGGGGGAGTCTCGGTTTTTTTAGGGATAACCCTCCCTTATCATTTCCTCACCAGTTAAGACAGAGCCCCTCATTAGGACCGTCGAGGCTATGGGAGTGTCGTAAGTGCGCAGGAGAGTCAGCGTGTGACAAGGACCTGAAGAGGCTCACTCATTTGCACAGCGACCAGGAGTCAGGGCCCAGGCCACTGAGCCGCCCGCTCCCCGAGACCTGCCCAGGAATTTAGCCAGGACACTGCCCTTTCCTTGGACGAAGGCCTTGCCCAGAGGACCTAAGCCGTCGAGCATGTCCCTGCAGACTTGTCCTAAGGCGTGTCCCAGCCAGACCCGCCCCAGCTACACGGTGTTTGCATCCGGGAAGGTCAGCAAGCGGAGAGCCCCGCACGGCCCCGCAGTGCTCACTGCTGTCCCCAGACCCCTTCGCGTTGGACTAATTAGCCCAGCGGCCGGGACCCTGATTGCTCCAGCTGCCCTCCTGTCTCTCCTTCCTAATTAGGTCTGTCACTTAATGACACTCTTGGAATTCTCGGGTCCCATAGCAGAAGTTTCACGAACTAGGTTAGACAAATTGGTAAATGGACTGGAAAAAAAAAAAAATCCAAAAACTACCCAGAGAGCCGTCAGTGTGGCCCAGGGGTGAGACGTCCGCGTCTCCGATGGGCTGTGATCTGCCCTCGCAGTCTCTGGTACACTCCTGGGTTGGTTGGCTTCAAGCTGGTTCAACCCTATTGCCAGTGACTTTTCTTTCGATCCTGTGATGATGATGATGGCCCTCGGAGGTGCGAAGACATCTCAACCCCCTGTGTTTGCCTGGCCCCCCCAAAATGCACCTCAAACAGTACTTCTGCTATTCCAGGCCTGCCCGAGACCGCTGTCCCTAAGGGGCCTGCTCTGACTTGCTAAGCCTTTTGTATCAGTCAGGGTGGGCCAGGCTCTGCTGCGGTAACAAACACTCAGCCGCTCAGTGACTCACAACACTGGAGGTTTATTCCTTGCTCGTGCTGTGTACCCAGCGCAGGTCAGCAGGGACATGTGTCCACTGCAGCCTTTCGTGGGCTGGGACACGACAACTGTCCCTCAACGCCGAGAATTCCCGAGCAGTTACCCGCTGAGCAGGCGGAGGGAGGGTTTCGCCATAACCAGCCAAAAGTGCCTCGTAAAACTACCATTCATTGTGGAGATGGGCAGAGAAAGGGGGTGTCTTAGAAGAGACGTTTCTCAGACCGGGTTCAGGCCTCGGCTGGCTTCTTGGGCGCCACCAACATCAGAGCGAGACCCCACTGGCAGCGTGCGCCAGAGCCACGCTGTTTCTGCTCAGTGTCTTTTCTCTCCCTGCCACAGTGCTCTGGATATTTGAAATGAAGGGAAAAAATATCTCCCAAAATACTCAACTGTGATTTTCCTGTGTCTATAAAATCCTGCCCGCCCCCCCCTTCCTGCTGAAGCCCCTCTCCCCTTGCCCGAGGGGCAGGCTCTCCTTAGTCTGACACTGATCGATGCTCTGCCCCGTGTTACAAGTTAGAAGCCGGTGTTGGCTCTCCACGCACATGCACGAACCCACAGGGAGCGGTGACACATTGACACAAACCCCCCCCTCCCCCAGGCAGCCCCCCTCCCTGGGATGTTTTCTCACACGTAGCAGAGCCACCAACTTCCTAACTAAAATATGACTGCGCGCTGCTAATTGCGTTGCCTCAAACAACTGCCAGGATTGCTCTCTGCTGCTCACATCTGCTGGCTTTTGGTTCCCTCTCTCCAGACCCCCCAAGACAGAGGAGGGGGGACGGCGGCTCCCCCTCACCGCTTTTGTTTCTCTTTGCTGCCCAGCAGCAGGTGAGGAAACGCGGTGAGAGGCCGGCGAGAACATCCCCGCTCAGCTACCGGAGGCAGATTCATTTCCTTCCCTCCTCATGTGCAAAAGATGCTTCCAGGGTCACCTTGTGTCCGCCCATGCTCCCTTCTTCTTTAAAGATCTGTATCTTAAAATTCTCATTTATTTAAATATATACCTAAAAGTAACCATAACAGGAGCTGCCGTAGAGAGGGGCGCCCTGTGCGTCAGGTGGTTCTGGCTCCTTGCCTCTCTCGCTTGCAAACACTTTTGCAGCAGATGAGACTGAGGCTCCGAGAGGGTGAGGGACTTACCTGCTGTCACGTGCTAGGGTGTAGCAGAGCTGGGGTTCAAGGCGGAGCCCCCCGAAGCTTACACTCTCTGCTCTCCAGCGGGCAGCTACACCAAGGCATCTGTAGCCCCCAGGGTATCGCTGCTGGGTTGCTGTCAAGGCCTCCAGGACAGCGGCCACTGATTCCAAAGGTCAGCTTGCCACCTACCGACAAGTAGGTGGCCTTAGGCTCATTGCACAAGGCCTGAGAGTTAACACCCGCCTGGAGCCCTCCAGGGAGCCCAGACAGTCCGGACAATCCGGAGGGGCCGCCGGTGTGGCAGAGGGCGCAGAGCCTGGCCCCCACGTCACACCTTCAGCTCTGTGAACTTGGGCAAGGCCCCTGACCTTTCTCGGCCTCAGTTTCTCCAGCCGTATAAATCAGGGATAGTAGATTATTTTGTAGGGTCATCGGGACGGGCGACAGGCACAGTTAAGGTTGCACCCTGCCTGGGGCCTGGTGCCGAGGAAGTCCTTGCTGGCATTTTCGTTGGTGTGACCTAAAGAGTCGCCAGGGAGGGCCTCTTGCAGATGGTGGTCATCTGGTGCCTGTGGTCGTTTTTATTCCCGAGTCTGTCCGTCCACTGGTCCAGGCCTGCAGCCCTGTTAGCTCTCAGCTCCTATGCCATGGCCCAGGCCTCCAAGAATTTCCTTCCAGGCCCCAGGGACATGGGATTATCGTCAAAGAGACATTTCTCAGCAGCTCGTCTGGGAGTGCTGCCATGAAAGGTAGTTGGGGGGGGAGAGAGAGGGAGGGGGAGAAAACCTCTACCAAGGAGTAAGCCGTAGTTTATGTCTTCATGACTTCAGCTGGCAAATCGAAGAAATAACGGGACAAGACAGCCAAACCGCAGGCGCACCGCCGCGAGGCGTGTAGGTTGGCCGCAGAGCTTCCCAGTGGAGGCCTGGCCCAGACCGCAGGCCGCCCCCGAGGCTTGAATGAACCTACCCGCCGGCAGATCGGAGAAGGACCCTGCCATAAATACTGAGCTGCCATCGATTCGGGGCTCAAGCTCGTGCCAGGCATCTCCTGAGCACTTCGGGTCTCGCGTGGCTCATTGGATCATCCCCCAGACTCCACGAGACACATACTGTCGGGCCGTGGTCACTGTGGTGCGGCGAAGTCAGCTGACGCGCAGAGTTCCCATCCCAGGCCTGGGGCCGCACCGCGAGAAGGGGGCAGGATCCCTGCCCAGGGTTCAGGCTTTTGGCCTGTGCTCTGTGCATGACTTAGGATCTGTGAGCCCCATGTAAGAGGGAGTGGGGTGGTGAATGGGACCTCAGATCAGCCGCTTTGGGGGTGGGGGGTGAGTATACCTAGTAAAAACTATATCCTTGAATAATAAAAGTTTCTGATTTTTTTGTGTGTTTTTGTTAGCCCACCTCGACAGCTCTGCCAAGCCAGAGATTCCACCCTAGATTCACAAGGTGCCTGGCTTCTGGCTGTTTTTGTCTAGACTGATACAAGCACAGGGTTGACAAGAAAATTAAGTGGGGGAAGTGATCAGTCTTCAGCTTGGGGGGGAGCGATCAGTCTTCAGCTTGTGGAGGAGCAGAAGCACCCATGTGAAACAACAGGCTGCTTTGCCCGGTGTCCGGCCCCCCACCCCAGGCCCTGTCCAGAGCTCTCGGCCCATCTGCACCCCCCCGCCCCCCACCGCTAACTGTCCCCTCTCTGATTGCAGGTAACCTGGACATCACTCCGGATGACCCCCGCTGGATCGGAGCCTGGTGGGGTGGCTTCCTGCTCTGCGGTGCCTTACTCTTCTTCTCTTCCCTCTTGATGTTCGGGTTTCCACAGTCTCTGCCCCCGCACTCAGACCCCGCCATGGAGAGCGAGCAGGCCATGCTCCCCGAAAGGGACTACGAGAGACCCAAGCCCAGCAACGGGGTCCTGCGGCACCCGCTGGAGCCGGACAGCAGCGCCTCCTGCTTCCAGCAGCTGAGAGGTAAGGCGGCCGCAGGAATGGGCTGACCGAGGGTGGCGGGGGACAGGCTGGCAGTCGGGACCGGCTGCTGGGGGACTGGAGGCAGAATCGTCCTTGTTTGGCACGACTCGCTGCTCCGGTCCTGTGCTTGGCTTGCTCCTGAGAAGCCGGTGACCTCGCTTGCAAAGTAGCTACCAGTTAGTGAGGGCAGCCGACGGATGTCCCCAGGAGAGAACCCCATGGCAACGTAGCAACCGATGTGTGATAAACATAAATGTTTGCAGAGGGAAGGAAGTGACAGAGGGCAGGAGGGGGCTGGGTGTTTTGCAGAACGCTCGTGAGCTCTTTCATGCAGCTTATAAGCGCTTTGAAGCGTCAGAGGGGCTTCTGAAGTTGGGTCGCTTTGCCCGACTCGGGCATTCTGTAAGAGCCACGTCCAAAGTGCACGTCTTCAGGTTCACTCCTTCCTTCCATCCGCTGCACGAGAGGCTGGACGCGTGCGCCTGCGGAAAGGAATGTGCAAATACAGAGTCACGCTGTAGAGTAGTGACAGTCACACTGCGGATGCAGCAAAGTGCTCACAATCGTAAAAATTTTTTAAATCTTCTTTTCTAATAGCGTGGGGAGGCAGTGATGCAGAGTGAGAATGAGAAGCACCCCCACCCCCGCCCCTGCCCCCAGTTGATTCCACATTTGTCGCATCTGGTCCCTTAAAGGCGAGGACAGCGTGGCCTCAAAAGCGGCTCCGTGCCTCTTGCCCCCCGGGAGGCGCGTGCTCTGCTCCTGGCTGCACAGCGCCCCTGAGTCCTGGGCCCCTGGAGGACCTGCTGCGCTTTAGAAATGAGCGGACGCGAGGCTGGAGCGCTGTCCCCCAGGGCGGCTGGGGGGGCAGGAAGGTGGCCGGTCACCTGTGTGGGCCCGGGGCGCACAGCCAGGCCTCAGTCGCAGTCCTGCGGCGCGGTTTAGACGTTTGGTGCGGGTGCAGTGAGCTCCTATATAAATGCCGAGCGCCTTCATGGAGAAGCTGAAGTACCACGGAGGGGCCTCGGGCAGCCCGGTGGCCAGATCCCCGCTCTGCTCTAGACTAGCGAGAACTGGAGCACCGCCGCGTTAGGCCACAGGGAATCCTGTTCATTCCCGAGAGACTGATTAATAACCGAATGGCATGCCCGCCCCGTGTCCCATGGTGGCGTCTGCCAAGCCTCCAATTTGGAATTGTGCACAGAAGGCCTTAGACTTCATCTCTCTGAGGTCTAGGGGACAGTGGTAGGCGAGAAGGCCACTCCCTTTGTGTCCTCTGAGGTTGCCTGGGTGTGCACCCCGAGGAGTATGTGCTCAATAAAAGCGTCCCCCAGAGAAAAACAGGGCCGCTTCTGTAGCCCCCGGTGACCAGAGGGTGGAGCCTGCTGCTCCCCTCGTCGCACAGCAGCCCACAGGAAAAACGGCCGCACGAGAGTGGGCCTCGGGGGACACCCTTGCCCTGGAGCGGGGAGGGAGGCAGCAGCCTTTCTAGGTTTTTCCCCACGCCAGGGTGACACTCGGGCCTTGCTATGGCTGATTATTAGAGCTGCACAAGTAAACGCTTACCACGCGTCTCTGGTTACAAAGATGAAAAGCTACCATTCTGCCGCCAAAGAGCTCGCCCTCCAGTGTAGGGACCGACCAGCCCCCCAAGGAAGCCAGCCCGGGGCGGTAAACACAGCCAAACCCCGAGCCCTGCAGGTTACAAAACAGGGACAGGCAGGGGACTCCACCTGCCGGGTCGGAGACGGAGCTGAGCTGGGTCTCGGGGTGTCACTGCTTCCGGACGCTTGGATTAGGAGTCAGTTGCTCGTTAACTCATTTGTTCAACTCAGTCTGTGTTTACTGAGGCCCTGCTGGGGTTCAGGGGCCTAGCGCTGGGTTGACCAAGGCGGCTTATGTTCTGGAGCTGGAATCGTAGCCGGGAGGCCTGCAGGAGGCAGAGTCTAGGCCGCGACGAGGTGCGAGTGGCATGTGCGGTGGCCGGGCTGACGGGCCCGCAGTTGGGTAGATTTGTGTGAGGCTCACTAGACCACAGGCGATGGCACGTTGTGACCTGTGTGCACACGGGCTCCACTTCTGATGATCCATGATTTTTAATTTAGAATTAGCGATTCCCCGAGGCCATGGGTCCCTGAATGGACGGGAAGGATGTCCCGGCAGGAAAGGAAGGAAGTGTCTTTAGAAGGATCCCCAGGAGCCAAAATACAGTGAAGTGAGCTGTTACGTTAATAAACCATTTTCCATCACCTCGTGGAGGGGGGGCACGGTGGCCTACCGCCCCCATTCCCCGCCTGAGACAGCGTTCTGGCCCTGTGGACATCTCCACCTAGAGCACCGTGCATTGCTCCCTGGGGCTCCCAAGCTCCTCACCCGCTTTGCGCCTCATGCTGTGCCAACAAACTTCCCCTGAACACCCCAGCTCCGAAGCCCCCCTTCCTGATCCTGATCTTCAGATGCCCCAGAGCGTTTGCTGAGTCGCCTTCCAGGACCCGTCTCCCCCGTGTCTGCCCCTTGCTTTCCTGCACCAGGAGCTGTGTGGTGGCCAGGACTGCACCTGGGGTGGCCTCCTGCAGCCAGAAGCTCGGAGTTTGCAGAATGGTCTGTGAAAGGCGGGACCCAGAGGGAGGAAGGAATGCAGGGGCCTTAATAGACAGATGCGCAGTAGTATCATCAGCTCACGACCACAGTTTCGTGTTTCATTGGAAATTGCCTCCCGTGTCACTTGCCCTGAAGGGGCCTTGATGGTGGGGATCTGGGCCCCTTCTGCAGCCACACGTCCAGGCACCTTCCCCACCATGTCCCTCACGGATGTTTCTGGAACACATCTGGCACTCTCCTCTTTGCCGCTGTTTCTGCCTGGCACGCCCTCCTCCCTTGGTCCCCCTCTGAGCTAGACCCAGTCCCCACTTGCCCAGGAATCCCCCCTTAGCCCCTCTGAGCACATGCCCCCGTATACCCAGCAGTTCCCCTGTTGGCCACACGGCCCCTGCAAAGCACTTGCTAGCCCCCTGCGGGGCCCTCTCTGCTTGTCTGCATCTGCCCAAAACTTGTGGCTTCTCCAAGGACAAAGCTCTTAACATCTTTTTGTTCATTGCATAGAACAGTGCCCGGTGCTGTGCAGGTGACATTAGTTGAATGGATGAACAAATGAGCACTTTCTTGCCAGCATGCTCGCACATGCGCATACATACTGCACCCCCCCCC